CGGTGCGCGACTTGGTCCGGAGACCGCCCTGGGATCGTCGCGAGCTGCAGCCCGTCGCATAGAGTGCGCGAGAACAGATGGTGCAATATTGGGGGGTCGCGATCGGCCTGTAGTTCCTCGTGGATATTGGGTTTCTTTTCTTGAATCGCGCAGCAGGGCGGTTTCTCTTCTGCCTCCATCGCCGGCGCGATTGGCTCTGCAACCTCGTCGAATAAACCCGGCGCGTCTTCCCAGGCGCACTTGCTGGGCGCCTTCGTCACCCCGGCGACTATCCCATACTGGCCCATGCTTTCCCGCGTCGACAGCGCCCTCGTCGTCGCGCACATTGAACGCGTTCGTAGAGGCGAGCGAGTACGTCAGCAAAGTCGCCCCGCATCGATCTGACCCGCCGCACATTCGCCTCGCACAGATGCGATGGGCCGCCTCTGTTTCGGGCCGCCCTTTCGCGCGAATCCAAATGCTCCGCGAAAGCATGTCCAGCGCCTGCTGCTTTTGGGTCCTCTCTGCCCTTTCACCAGGCATGTTTGATTTCATGTTTGATTATGTTGCTGAGCTCGGGACTCCGAGCCTCCTTCAGTTCGGCGGTGACGCAGTGGTTCCGTCGCGCGCCCCTTCGCTCAGCGATCCAATGCAGGCCCGCTATTCGAACTGCGCCGCGGGGCCTGCGTCGGCAGCGCCGCGCCCAAAACTGCGAGCACGCGTCGCTTCACCAACTCAGCCTGGTCCGAAATTGCACCTCCGTGTTCTGCGTGTTCATGTTTGCTGATAGATCTGCGCAACTGCATGTGCGCGGCTATGCTCACCGCGCGGTTTCAATGCTTGGTATATTTCTTCGCCGCCGGATTCGTCGCGCAGCTCATCGCCACCGTCAATTCGAAAAATGCACATGGCCTGGACCCGAATCGGGCCAGCTAAGAAAACTACGTTGGTGCTTGAAAGACCGACCGGCGTGACCAAATAATGCGCCATCGAATTGCTTGCGCGCGCCTGCATTCGCGCGCGCCCATGAACTGTCTGCGTTCGCCTCGGCAAAAGCGCCGGCAAGCGGGGGGTCGCGTTCCGCGCAAAAATGCAGTCGCGGCCCCCCTCGCGCGTTTGGGGCACGAATTGGGTCGGGCCCCACTGCGCCGATCTCCCCGCGCCCGCGTCCCGGCCCCACTTCCACATCGGAGCCCCCTGCAATCAAACGTCGCAAACCTCTGCGACGAGCTCAGCCGACAAGGTTATCCAGAAAGCACGCGCGGCATCCACAATGCAAGTTTCGACCCCCCGCGCGCGCGCCGACGCGTTGGCAGCGCGCCCCGCGAAAATCAGCATGTAGAACAAATGCCACTCTGCCGCAATTTGCCCGGCGCGATTTGCACCCCCCCCTGTCGCGCAGCAGCTTGTCCGCGCCGATTTCACCCTGCCCCCCCCCTTCCACTGCAAGTGCGGTTGTCATATGTTGCGAAATTAAATGTGCTTCGTCCTGTTGCGCTTCAGCAAATGCGACAGCGCCCCAATGCTCGCCGCGAGGCCAAAGAAACGCCGCGCGCAATACGCTGTGGAGCTGCGTGAGAATGCACGCTGTGCGCCAGCGCAGCAACGTGCAGATCCGTTCGTAGTTGTCGTGGAAGTAATGGTAGAAATGCGCGCCGTTGCTCCTCCTCCTCGGAGCGACGTCAATAGTCTGCAGCGGCCCCGACCCCGCCACCACTCCTCGAGGCCCCGTCCCCGCCCCCGCCCACTTCGCCCCTCGCCTAGGCGGCGACGCCCTTCTAGGGCACTGTCGCGCTCGTCGATGCCCGCACCAACTGGTCAAACATCGCTTGCGCCGCCGCCTTCCTCCAGGCGCCATGAACGCCCTCGCTGGGGGCGCCCTGGGAACCCGCGAGACGGTGCTTGATGGGGCCGAGCAGTATGTCCTGGGCTCGTTGTTTGCATGCGCGGTTGCTCGTGAACTGCGGGGCAATGCGCCCCGATTGCGCGCCCGGAAGCCGCGCCATCTTGCATGCGCCAATGTTTCGGAAACCCCCGATTCGAATTCGATCACCCCCACCCTCGCTGGATCGCGAAAAGCATCAAATCCGCCATCCGCGAGGGGGTCCACCACCGTCCGCGCAATACTATCTTAGGATGATTCCTGTTCAAAATTTTCTCTGCTGTGCGCCCTGTCCTGCCCGTCGTCGAATTAATCCTCCTCCTCGTTGCTCTCTTTATGCCCTACTCCTGGAACATCCGTTTCCATCTTCACCCTGCCCATTGCGGCCTGGACCTCCGCCGCAGACATCACCTCGACCTGGTCTCGCAACTCCTCCTTCGCCACGTAGAACCCATCCATATTCTCTTTCAATCCTCCATGTTCCATGTCGAACTCGTCGATCTTGGCATGGCACTTTTTCTCAATTTCCATGGCGTGATGGGCTTCCACGATTGCTTCTTGGAGTTTGTTCGTCATGTCACCATTAAGTTATCCCGTTAAAGTCGTTCGACATTTAGCCGAGCCGCTTCGTCCGCCTTTTTTCCGTACGTTTGCGACCACACTAGCGGAGCAGCACCCCGCGACAAGTGAATGCTCGTCTTCCGAAGTCTATGCATCTGCATTGCAAAACTTATGTGTTTCCTTGTCTGGTGTGGGGCCTGTTCTAAAATTCGAATGCTTCCCTGTTCCTTGCTTCGCGCACCCGAACACGCTTGTCCAGCAAAGTGGCGCATCCGCGTGAGCGTACGTGGCGGTAACACGTGGCCACGGCGGCTTCCAATATGCCCGCCTGCGAATCCCGAGCGCCATAGTTCGTCGTTTATTATACTTCCCGTATGTATGGTATTCCATGACTCGCCCCTGACGTGGCCGATATACGTGCACACCATCGACCCGTTGTTGGCCACGTGGCGTCGCACAGCCTGCCATCCTCGAGGGTCTCCATGCGTCTGTACTCGCCTCTACCAATGCCGGCCTGCATTGGCCCTTGCGTGTCGGCCGTGACGAGAAAATACAGTGCGCGGAGGTCGCCAGCATCGATCCTCACGAGCTCGGTAGTGTCATCAAACAGGAAGCCCAACGTAGTCTGATATTCGTGCAGCGTGGCCCCCGACCCCGTGGCCGTGAGAGCGTCAAAACGTTGCCAGGCGTGTGTAGTTCATGGTCTGACTTGCTCCGACACTCGACTCTCCTCGAATACGAACAAATCGCAGAATAACGCCGATGGGAACTGTGAGGTATCTGCACGCATCCCCGCGAACTCCTGCATCCATTCCAGTCCCCCTTATCCGTAGTCAGTCATTCAAAAAAACAGTGGTGCGAACCGAAACTTCCACATCACCTCATCGTGGCTGATCGTGCGCATGTGTGCTGTTCCCTCCTCCCACCTGGCCGTACCGTGCAGTATTGCTCGGCATTTCTTGAAAACGAGACTCTGGCCTTCGTAGTGGGATTGATCCATGTAGCGCCTGTCTAGTCCAGATAGGGCCGTAGTGGCAAGGAACCCCTTGACCACCGTTCGTTTGACAGGAGGGACAGGAGGACGAGGAGGGGGGGAGGAGGAGGAGGACGAGGGGGTGAGGAGAGAGGGCCCTGCAAAAGGGCCCGAGGGGGGCTTCCAGTTTCGAAGCTCGAGGATCGTTTCGTTGCGACGGCTTGAATTCACTAGCTCTGGCCAGAACGCACCCTACGAAGGAACGGAAGGCAAACGTAAAACAAACAAGCTGGATTGACCCCTCGACCTGGCGTCGACGATGCTGACGATTAGAAGGAAGGAGAGGGTCTTGAGAAAGGAAGAGGTGCAGGAGGGAGGGTCGATGGGGAGGAACTTTGCGATGGCAGGAGGAGAAGGGGGAGGTGGGGAGGTGAGGAGTAGAAGACATGGGGCATGGACAGGGGAGGAGGGGGAGAACTGTCGAAGGTCGAGCTCCTCCATCCTCCTCCTTCCCTCTGATTTTTTCTTTTCTCAATATTCTTCTTCGCTGTCCTCCCTCTTCCTGAATCCATCCACCTCCTCCCTCCTCTTCCTTACCAGACCATCCTCTGGCGTTGTTTGGAGAAACAGTGCCCGCGTCCTCCTTATTCTCTCCTCCTCCCCTCTTCCCTCCTCAGGGTTCGCGTGCGTCCGCGCCTCTCGTTTCGGCACTCCCCTCACACGTTTCGTGACTGCATCGGAAGCTCCACCGAAGACTCAAAAAGGCTGCTTTCGCATGCGTCCGCGCCTCATTTCGGCACACCCCTCACACGTTTCGTGGCTGCATCGGGAGCTCCACCTAAGGCCCCAAATGGCTGCATTCGCGTGCGTCCGCGCTTCTAATTTCGGCACAGGTCCACCGAAGGCCCCAAGTGGCTGCGTTCGCATGCGTCCGCGCCTCCCTCGAAGTCTTGTGGTAAGGAGCTCTGCTACGCAGGCTGTATCGCCACTCATATGATCCAGCAACATGTCGGTCCTCCCCTCCCCTCCTGCTCCTCGTGCTCCTCCTGTTATTCCTTCTGCTGATCCTCCTCCTCCTCATCCTCCTCCTCCTCCAGGCCAAGAACAATCGTGGAGACGTAAGACTCGGGTTCGGGGGACTCGGGTTGGCCTGACAAGACCATCATGAAAATGACGAGACCCAGTATGAAATTTGACGCGAACTCCCGCTGCAAACATCCCACGAAACCTGAACTGTCAACATCCAGGACGCGCTCGTCAAACAGCGTCGGCGAGCCCGAATTCTGGCGCACTCGAATCTGACGTTTCCAACAACAGCTTCACGCACACAAGCGTTCGAAGGTCCGCGCGGATTCGTCTGGCCGGCGCTGGAACCCCCTCGCTGGCACGCGGAAGGGGCGGCGCTGAAGCGCCGACAGGAGGGCCCAGCGAGGACCCAAGAAATCCGCACGGACCTCCGGAAGCTGGCACTTATGTGTACTGTTGTTTCTTCTTCGACTGCTGCTCCACCTGTTCGTCCTCCTCCTCCTCTTCCTCCTCCTCCTCATCATTATCCTCCTCCCTCACCCCTCCTGTCCTCCCTGCTCCCCGCACCCGTGGGCACGCCTGCAGCCGGGCGATGGCGGAGGAGCCCTCGGCAACGGCTGGCAGCTCCAGCTGCGGCGACGCGGCGAGGGGGGTGGGCACGGGAATGAGGTGGAGGGGTCCTACTGGCTCCTCCTCCCCACCTCCCTCCTAATGCCTCCTGCTCCCTACGTCCACTCTCCTCCTCCGCCGTCGCGGTCGGCGTCATACTCGTCGCCCAAGGCCCCCAAGAGGGCCTCAAGAGGACCCCCGTAGGGCCCCGAAGGAACAAGCACGGAAGTCGACGCTTGAGAATCGGGACGTGCTTAGCGTTAGGTCGGGCGTGTACCCCTACTAGCGGATTGTGGACGACAAATGAAAATAGCCAAGAAATACTGGAACAATTGTCTAACATGGAAAAAAACGTCCCCCGACTATGGTTTGACTATTTGGGAGTATTCCTCCTGTAGAGGGGCAGGCCCGACTTAAGCTTAGCGTGTCGCGCCGATTCCTGGTTGGCCAGAGCTGGTGGCACGACGCGCTGAGCAGACATTCCTGACCGCAGCGCTCGCCTCGGCTGCCGTGGTAGAGGATAGCTAATCAGTCGGCACACGGCCCCAGGGAGCTATCGAGAAAACCCAAACAAAGACTTCTCCGAGGCGGAAACATTAAACAATATTCAGGCGAGGTACCCCCTCAAATTTAAAGGGCTGTTGTCCCCACCTTTCCCTTGGCCCTCCTCCTCAAGCGCTGGCTCGTCGCCGCTCCCCCCCCCTTTCCTAGGGGCCTCCTCAAGCGCTCCAGCCAAAGCAAAATTGAGCAACGTCGTAATCGACTCGAAGGGGAGCCCCTTCCCATTGATCCCTCCCCCGCCGGTAGGGGGGGTCCCAGGGGGGACGCGGGGGGGGGTCCCGGGTCAGATACGACCCCCACCCAAGGGGGTCCTGGGGCCCCAAGAAACTCCAAGACGGGCCAAGAGTGCCCAAAGAGGCCCCCAATAATCCAAGAGGGCCCCAGACGCCTTGACGGCCTCCAGACGGCCCAAGAAGCCTCCAGGAGCACTCCTAAGAGGGTCCCAAAAAGAAGTATCACTGATTTCCCAATTGGTTTTTGAAACAATTCGGCGTTCTCGCCTCTTCCGCTTCCTGACGCTCCAAGACGGCCGAAACGGCCCCCCAGATCGCCCCAAGAGGGCCCAAGATGGCTGCAGGAGGGACCCAAAACGGCCCAAAAGGACCCCAAGACGGCCCAAGACGCCTCCAAGAGGGAGCCCAGACGAGGGACCAGAACGGACAGTTCGAGCCCTCCGCCCCGAGAGGCTCCCAGGAGGAACCAAGAGGCCCCCAAGAGGCCCCAAGTGGCCCCAAGAGGCCCCCAAGAGGCCCCCAGGAAGCTCCGAGAGGCCCCCCAAAGGCTCCCAAAAAGCCCCCAAGGGGCGCCCAAGAGGCCCCGAAGCTGTCCCCCACAGGCCCCCGAGAGCACTTCGAAGAGACCCCAACAAGCATCCATGAGGACTCTGACCACCGTCAGCGTCGTCGTCGTCGTCGCCGCCGCCGCCGCCGCAGCCGTTATCGTCGTTCCCTGGCCGTAAGGCCTTCGCAATCCTAGATCCCGTACCTCGACTTTCGATCCACGACATTCGGCTCCTAACATCTCGCCCCGATGCCCGAATCTATTTCCTTGATCCTGGAAGATCGAGCCTCTCGGACCGCGACCCTCGAAGCTCGATCCTCGGCCCTCGATCCACGGGTCTCGAACCCCGAACTTCGATCCTCACACAACAAAACTCCATCCTCGAACCTCGAGCCTCGATTCTCGGCCCTCGAATCTCGATCCAAGATTTAGGTCGGGCATGTCCCCCTACAGGAGGATTTTGGACGAAAAATACAACATACCCCAACAATGCACCAAAATGCTCAAAGATAGTAAAACAACATCGTCTCCTGACTATCTTTGAACTATTTTCGATTATTCCTCCTGTAGAGGAACGCGCCCGATTTAATCCAAATTCCTCGAACCGCATCGACTCCCCAGGACGCCCTGAGCCGCGTCAGCCCAAGGCCCACCGGGTCGGCCGGGGCCCCGTCGCGAAGACGGGCAGACCGCACGGTGGCTCCCAGACCCGGGCCGGCGGAGGGCGGACAGGGGGCATCGGCCCCACGTGGCTCCCACGCCCAGGTCAGCCGGGTGGGACAGGCCAGTCCCCGTGAGCGCTGACCGCCATGGCGTGATCCCCAGGACTCGGATCTCAATCCTCCTCCAGTCGCCCGCGTCACCGCCCGAGGGAGCCTCGTCCGCCTCCTTCGCGAGCTCCGCTGGCAGCCTCAGCGCCTGCCGGCCCTGGCCGCGCGCCCCATGGGGCCGGCTTCCCGCAGACGGCGGCGACGGCGTCGACGGCGTCGACGGCGTCCACGACTACGACTACGACTACGACTACGACGACGACGACGACGACGACGACGACGACGACGACGACGACGACGACGACGACGGCGATGGCGTCGACGGCGACGACGACGACGACGAGGACGGACGACGAAGACAACGGCGACGGCGTCGACGGCGTCGACGGCGTCGACGACGACGACGGACGACAACACGACGACGAAGACGACGACGAGGACGAACGCCAACGACGGAGGCGACGGCGTCGACGACGACGAAGATGGACGACGAAGACGGACGACGAACGACGACGACGACGACAACAGAATCGACGGCGACGGCGTCGACGGCGTCGACGACGACGACGACGACGACGACGACGACGACGGACGACGAACGACGACGACGGCGTTGACGGCGTTGATGGCGTCGACGGCGTTGACAACGACGACGACGAGGACGACGACGGCGACGACGACGACGACCGTCGACGGCATCGACGACGACGACGACGACGAAGACGGACGACGACTGCGACGACGACGACAACGATGGAGTCGACGGCGGCGGCGTCATCGTCCGACGACGACGACGACGACCACGAGAATGGCGCTTGGTCAGCCCAAACCAGCACCAGAACAAAATCCGACCAGGACACGACGGGGATCTCTCAAATCTGGCGGTTCTAGGAGACTTGTCGGGTGATACGACCGCTCCAGAGCGGCCTGGAATTCTCCGAGCGCGTTCCGGAACGCTCTGGACGATTCATCCTTGTCCTTGTCCCGCCCAGCTTTGGCGTCTTGAGGTTCATGTCGACGCGGCCAAGCGCAGCCCACGAAGCGGACCATGGGCGGGCTACCACCGGGGCCACAGAGCGGATCTCGAGCAGGGGGGGGAGGGCGTGCGGGACTTCTGGGGGGAGGCCTCGAGGGGGCCAAGGGCCGCGATGGCACCCGATCGCGATACTTCGGACCGATCGCAACTGCTTGGCTCCGATCGCGGCTGTCGACACCGCTTGAAGATTGAGCGAACTGCATCAAATGGGCGCCTCGGATTCCGAAAAGGCAGTCCTCGGTCTCGACGACCAACAATGGACTGCCACCAAAAATCAAAAACGCGGGTCGCTTTCCTATGCCAAGAGACTTGCTGGAACCGAAATTTAGCCACACTGCCAACGCAGTTCTGGTTCGGAAAAATTGCCAGCTAACGCCAAATTGAGACCCGTCTGACTTGCACCAATCACCATGCGAATGTATTTTAGACGATGCGATACCGTTGCAGAACACACTGTTGCAGAACACGCTGCGCTGGGCACATTCGCATACGTGCATGTGAACAGCCGGGCACAGCCCATTCGAGCTGAAGTATAGGGGGTAACGCACATACATGGACAAAATACAGCGCAGAGGTTCCTCAGAAGCCTCCCAACAAAAACCCAGGAACTCCGAATCACCCCCTTGACGCGGAAGCTCATTGGAAACCACGCATGCTCAGACATCTCAAGTCGTGACTTTTCTGCAACGTGGCTTCCAAAAGGACTGGCCAGGGGACCCGCTTTTCATACTGGGCTGTTTTCTGACGGCCCTGGGGCCCGGCAAGGGCTCCCAGAGGCAGAAAGTGCTAGCATTAGGTCGGGCATGTCCTCCTACAGGCGGATTTTGGACGAACGCTGAACAAATAATCTAAACATGCCCAACAATAGTTTACAAAACATTGAAAAAATCGGCCCCCATACGATCATACTAGTATGTTTGCAACTCCTCCTGTAGAGGGACGTGCCCGACTTCATGCGAGCAGCACGAAAAATGCTCCGAGCGATCACATCCCGTGCACGCGAGGCGGCATCCCCAGGGAGCAACGGCACGCCCTGGGACTGGCGGCCGCGGCATGCAGTCGTCACTCGTCGAAGCCACGAAGCGGGATGCCCAGGGAGCACCGGCCCACCTTGGGCCTGGCGGCCGCGGCACGCAATGCGAAGCGGGGACTTATCCATATCCACCGCCTGGGAACCGACGTCCGGGTGCCCCAGCGGGCGGTGGATATGGGTGCATTTCGGCCCCCGGGGGCCCGACCATGTCCATATCCACCGCCTGCCGAGACTCCGAAAACTGACCCTCCAGATGGTGGTCCTGTATGCCTTCCCGCCTCGGACGCTGGGCGTGCGAGGCGGGTCGGGAGCTCTTCTCTGCGAGCCTCGAACGGTCGAGGAGCCACACAAATGCCTGCACACAAAGTGTCGGAGATCCGCTCGGATCTCCTCCGCTTCCGCCTCCTCCTCCTCCACCTCCCCCTGCCCTCCCCCTCCTCCTCCTCCTCCTCCTCCTCCTCCTCCTCCTCCTCCTCGTACTCCTCGTCCTCCACCTCCTTCCCCCCTCCAACTTCTGGTGGTGGTGGTGGAAAACAGGTTCATCATATGCAGGTTGCCCTTCTCTGAGACAGCACTGCCCTTGAGTATCGTTTAACCGATCCCCATCCCTAGCGGCGTGGCCTGGGCCCCACTGGCCGATTTACCCCCCTAGATGGGGACATAGGCCGTCCCCTTCGGGTTTCGAGGGGTGTACCCCCAACTGGGGGGGTAATTTGGTGGGGGTCTCGAAGGGGATGGGGATGGGGAGGGGATGGGGATGGGGAGGGGGAAGATTATCCTAGATCTCGATGTTGGTGGTAATATTTCGGCCACCTTGGAAGCCAGAGTATTGCCACCATCGCCGAGATCTAGGATAATCTTCCCTCGGTGGAGGCACACCGCCGATATTGGTGTTGGTGTCAACCTCCAGGCCTGCGACTTCTCCGAGACAGCCCTGACCTGTTGGGCGAGAAGAGCGCAAGCAGCATCCTCAGCCGCGGCTTCTTCACGGCGCGAGGAGGTCGGGGAGGCGAGGGGGCGCGGGCTCGCCTGCAGCGCCCGCAGCTTGACGTCCAGCGCGTCGAGCGCGCTCTGCATCTCGGCCACCGCTGCGCGCGGGAGCACAGGTCCCAACGTGGGGCAGGATCGGCCAACATCGATCGGAAATTGGGTTGAGTCGGGAAATCGGATCGAGCCGGAACTAGCACGGGATCGGGTCCGCTGGATGCGAGCACCGGGCCGCATCGGATCCCCAGAACAACGAAATCGAATCGGATCGAGCCGTGTGAACTCGACAGCTGATCTGATCGATCGAATCAAGATGGACCCAGGGGGTGGGCGTGATCTGTGTATGCGCCTTTCGGGCCCGGCCAGAAAGGCGCTTTCACCGATCCTGGGTCCAGGATGGACCTGGCCCCGATCGACGTGGTGTGGTGGACGTCGGCGTCCTCCCATCTGATGGCCTAAAATTCTGGAGGCTTGCAAAGGTTTGTAAGTTTCCTGCATCTGCATAGTTGGTCTAGGTCGGGCGGCTGGGCACGCGACACCGAGGGAGGGTCCAAGGTTGCCAGAGGTGATCCTGTCCCGAGGCGCCCCAGCCTTCCGCGCCATTTTGGAGCCCCCGGGGTCCTCTGGGCTTCTTGAGGAGTGCTCTGGAAACGACTTGGGCCTCCTTGGAAAGTTGGGTCGCCTCCAGCCAGGGCCACATCAGAAACTGTCGGAAGTCCGCGCGGATGTCTTCGATCTGCGCTGAACCCACCTCCATGGCGCACGGAGCGCGCTGGAGGCGCCATCAGGTGGCTCAGCGCCAACCCAAGAAATCCGCGCGGACCTCCAAAATTGTACGCTTAGGCTAGTGCGTCCTCATGAGGAAAAGGGCGGCGGCGGCAGCGCTTCACGCGAGTCCGATGGTGGTTCGAGCTAGGAGAAAAATTGGGAATCCTCTTCACATGTGTTTCAGAGTCACGCGGCCGAACGGTCTTACACCGTCCCTGGTGCGTGGCTGAAATGAGATTCCACGGATCGGATTCTGCTTATCGTTTGTTGTTGTTGTCCCACCCGCGACCCACCCGCAACACACCCCCGACATACCCCGCCACCCACTCGCGACCGCTCCCACGACGAACCCCACGGCGCGGCACATCAGCGACCCACCCACACTGTTTGAACAACAAGAACTGCGTCTGCGGCGGGCTTCGCCAGAGCCTCGCAAACTGCAGACGGCCCCATCGCCCCCTCACTCTTACGCGCGCTTGCGAGCTACGGTACTTGGTCGTGGGGTGGGTCGCGAAGTGGGTCGCAGGGTGGGTCGCGAAGTGGATCGTGGAGTGGGTCGAGGGGAGGGTCGCGGGGTGCGGGGTGGGTCGCGGGTGGGGCGACGACAACAGCACACAATAAGCAGAATCTACGTCGTGGAATCTCACTTCAGCCACGCAGCCACGGACGGCGCAAGACCCGTTGGCCCCTCACTCTGATGAGGAGTCGTCGCCGACGTCGCCGCCGCCCCTGCCATCAACGGCGGAAGAATCTCGACGACCACGGCGGCGGCGGGCGCCAGCGGTGACGACGATGGCGCCGGCGTGGTCGTCGCCGCCGCCGCCGCCGCCGCCGCCGCCGCAGGCGCCGCGGACGACGACGGCTCTGACGCCGCACGCCGCCTGCCGACGCCACTCGTCGCCGTCTCCGCCCGCTGTCGCCGCCACGGCAGCTGCGCTGCCAACACACGGCGGCGGCGGGCGCCAGCCGCGGGGCGTATCCAGAAGGGGGATCCTCTTCCGTTTCATACCTCTTCTCTCCTCTCCTCTTCTCGTCGCTTCACTTGTGTGGCAACGCGCCTCGATGCCACGCGAGCCTAGACAGACCTGACTCTGCTCCTACTCCGCCTCCTCCTCCTCCCTCCTCCTTACTCCCCTGGGCTCTCCCAAGGTGCGGTCTCACCAGGATCCCACCAGCCCTCTGGGCGTAGGTGGCCTAGGGCGTTTCCCCGTCCACCCTTCTTCCTCTTCGCGGAGGGTTTTACCCATCCCCCTACCCCCTCCCCTGGACCTGGACGACGGGGTTCGCGAGCGGTCGGGGCGTCCAACATGGCCCAAGACGGCTCCAAGAGGGCCTCAGAGAGCCCAAGATGGCCTCCAAGATGGATCAAGATAGCGCAAGATGCCACAAGATGGCTTCCAACATGCTCCAAGATGCCCCAAGAAAATTCCAAGAGAGCGGCAAGCGTCATGGGGGCGGCGGGGGGCGGGGGGGGTATGTCGTAACGCCCCCCCCCCGCCGTGTAGTTCCGCCATCACAGCCGCGCCCGCGCGCACGACGCGACGAGCGACGAGCGACGAGCGACGACGACGACGAGGACGACGCGAGCAAAATGTAGGTGGCGATATGCCCCACTGCGCCTTTGTACATATCGCTCGCGTACAACACAACGCGCGCGAACACCACAACACCTGCGTACACCGCAAGAAAGGTGTGCATCGCAGCGCCTGTGTACACTACAGTGCTTGCGTACACTACAGCGCCGGTGCACATGTGTACACAACAGCAACCATGTGCAACAGAGCGCCTGTGTACACCACAATGCTTGCGTGCACCGCAGCGCCTGTGCACGCCACAGCGCCTGTCTACACCACAGCATCCGCGTGCAACGCAGCGCGACTGTACACAAGTGCCTGCGTGCAGGACAGTGCTGATAATCGAATGCGGCGTTCTTCCCTGTTCCCTCCTCCTCCACCTCCACCTCCACCTCCACCTCCTCCTCCTCCTCCTCCTCCGCCTCTTCGGCCTCGTCCTCTTCCTACTCCTCCTCCTCCTCCTCCTCCTCCTCCTCTCCTCCTCCTCCTCCTCCTCCTCCTCCTCCTCCTCCTCCTCCTCCTCCTCCTCCTCCTCCTCCTCCTCCTCCTCCTCCTCCTCCTCCTCCTCCTCCTCCTCCTCCTCCTCTTCCTCCCCCTTACCCCCTATCGTGCGGGGTGGCGCTGCAGCGCACGTGCTCAATTCAGCTCGCAGTGCACCACATCATGGTCTATTGAATCGGTCCACTTGGTTCTTGCACGGCTCATTTTGCTGGAGCGTCCTGGACGCAGATGGGAGAAATTAGGGTGATGCGGGCGGACTCGGGAGAATTTTGTCCATAAGGATTCCTTTGTATTGTTCTCTGTGGAATCCACAAGCGCTCCATTTTGTCACACGGATTCCTTCTAACATTCAATATGCAAGTGTGACGCTGTGTTGCACACGGTGGTTGTGGTGCACGCAGGCGACGTGGTGTACACAGGCACTGCAACGCACGCAGGCATTATGGTGTACACTGGTGTTGTGCTGCACACGGTTGATGTGGTGTAGGCAGGCGCCGTGGTGTACACAACAGCTGTTGTGCCCGCGACACGGCGGCACAAACTGACGCTGCGTTGCACGCGGCTGCCGTGGTGTACATAGGCGGCGTGGTGTACACAGGCGCTGCGGTGCACGCAGGCACTGTGATGTACACAGGCGTTGTGGTGCAAATCGCCACCTACATGCTGGTGCTACCCGTCCTCCGTCATCCCGAGGCATTCCCAGACGCCGCCGGCGCGAAACATAATGTCATCGACCCCCCCACATCCCCTCAGATGATTGACGTGATCGGCCCGGAACAATTAACAGCCTCCAGCCGCGTCCGTGCGCACGACGACGATGAGCGACGAGCCACGTCGTGGCTCGTGACGAGCGATGACGACGACGACGACGACGACGACGACGACGACGACGACGACTGCGGACCAGACTCCTATGCGGATTCTTACGCGGACACCCGCGCGGATCCCAGCGCGCACGGCGGCAGTGCCCGGAGCGCACTGGGGAGGGGAGCGTTACGTCATAGGGGTGGGGAGCGGGGACCATGACGCCTGTCATGCCCCAAGCATTAACGAAATGGTATCCAAGATGGCTCCAAGTGGCCAAAGAGCTCCCCAAGGAAGCCCCGAAGGCCCAAATCCTTCCAAAACCTAGCGGGAATCAATGTGTGTTTTGCTTTCTCGCCTTTTCGCTTCTGATGGCCATCCTAAGCTTCAAGATGGTTCCATGATGGGCTAATTGAGCCCCAAGAGACCGAAACGGCCCCAGGAGCGACCAAGAGTGCTACAAGAGCGCCCAAAAACCCAAAAACGCCCCAAGAGGCGATTCCCGAGTTTCCCCAGGGGGGCGCTAATTGGAGCTCTCCTCTTTTTTGATGGATGTCCTCCAAGATGGTTCCAATTAAGCGCCTGGGAGGCCCCAAGAGGTCCCAAGATGGCCCCAAGATGGCCCCAAGAGGCCCCCAAGAGGCCCCCAGGAGGCCCAAGATGGCTCCAAGCGTCCCTGCGAAGCCCCCCCCCCGAGGCATCCAAGACGCCCAAGAGCCTCCCAGGACCGCCAAGGGACCCCCAAGACGTCCCAAGAGGCCTCCAAGAAGCGCCCAAGAGATATCCCAAAAGGCTCCGAAATGCATCCAAGAGACCTCTTGCCCTTTTGATTGCACTCCTCCTCCTGCTCCTCCTTCCTCCTCCTACGCTTCTCTTCCTCTTCCTCCTCCTCCTCCTCCTCCTCCTCCTCCTCCTCCTCCTCCTCCTCCTCCTCCTCCTCCTATGTATATTCCTTCTCCCGTCTCCTTCATCCGTCCATCCAGCCCCCTTCTCCTCCTCCCTCCTTCGCACGGTTCGGCCGTCCCCCTCTTTGCTCCCACTCTTCCCTGATCACCTCAACCCTCCTGGACATCGTTTCTGGATGGGCTGGAGGGGATACTTTTGTTTTGACTTGAGGGCGTGGTAATCGAGCAAACTGGGGCACAGCGCCAGATAATTAAAGCTGCCAAGCTGCTGGAGACGCGGGCCAAGCGGCACACCACAGCCCAACGGCTGGAGACCGCGCCAAGCAGACCGGCATGCAAGTGCACATGCAGAGAGCGAGTGACAGTGAGAGCCAACGAGGAGTCGCCCTGACGGCGCCAGCTCGCAAGCGAAACAGCCAGTGGAGGGGATACGCGAAACGTCCAGAATTTTGATGCGAATCCAGCCGTGGCAACGAGGGCTCCCCCGAGGCCAAAAAAAAACGAATACGAGGGAGGGGCAGCAGTTGTTGCACCTTTTCCTCATTTGAACCCTCCCACCTCCCCCTCCTCTTCTCCGCCCTCCTGCTCGTCCGCCTCCTCGTCCGCCTCCTCCCTCGCCCTGCTCCCCCTCCTCGGTCCCCCTCCTCCTCCCCCCTCCTCCCTCCTCCTTCCTCCTCCCTTCTCGCTCCCTCCTCTCGCCCCCCTGCTCTCCGTCCTCCGCCTCCTCGTCCGCCTCACCGTCGCCCTCGCCCCCTCTGTCCGAGGAGGAAAAGGAGGAGGAGGAGGAGGAGGAGGAGGAGGGAGGAGGAGGAAGGAGGGAGGAGGAGGAGGAGGGGGAGGGAGGGAGGAGGCGCCCGCCTGGGTCGGGGGCCGCCTCCGCGGGCCGCCCGTCCTCCGCGGGCGGTAGCTCCTCCGCCGGGGCGGCGCCGGGCGACGCCAGCCTCTCCAGGGGGGAGGGGGCGGACGGGGCACTCGGGCCACGAGCTCGTCGAGGGGACGGGCGCGGAGCTGCCGCCAACGCGCACGCGGCACCCCGCAGTGGCGGCTAAGAGTGGGACTCCGCGACTCGGATTCTGCTTGTCGTAGCCCCACCCACGATCCACCACGTGACCCTCCCCGCGACCCATTCCACGATCCACTCTGCGACCCACCATGCGACCCACTCCGCGACCACTTACCGTAGCGCGCAACTGTGCATAAGAGTGAGGGGGCGGCGGGGTCGTCCGCAGTCCGCGGGGCTCTGAAGAAGCCCGCCACAGGCGTCGAAATTGTAACACGTTGCACAAAAAAGACCGCCGCAGGCGCATGTTTTTCGTCGAACCAATGTGGGTGGGTCGCGGATGGGTCGACGCGTAAAATTTGTCGGCCCAACGGGCCAAGGGCGTGCTAAGATTTCCAACGACTGGTTAACAATATTCTCATTCGCGCGCGCGGGGCCGTCACTGGGGGTCACCGGACGAAAAGTACCCCGGCAAGGTCCCAGCAAGTCCCGGCAAGGTCCTGGGCAGGTCCCAGCAGGCTCCCAAGAGCGTTCCAGGAGCGCTTCAAGTGGCCTCCAAGAGAGCTCAACATGGCTCGAGACGGCCCAAGAAAGATCCAAGACGCCAGAGATGGCCTCCAGACAGCCCGCTGCGCCTGCAAGACGCCCCCAAGAGACCCCCCAGGAGGGCCCACAAGATACCTCCCGAGAGGGCCCACAGAGGCAAAAATTAGCGATTTTGTAGTTGTTGTTGCATGTGTTTGGCGTTCTCGCCTTGGGGGCTTACCCCCGCTCCAAGACGGAACAAGAGAGTTCCAGGATTGCCCTGGCACGAACCAAGAGGCACCCGAAAACGCCCAAAACGGCCCCAGAGGGTCCCAAGACAGCCCCAGAGGCCTCCAAGGTGGCCGAAGAGTCTCCCAAAACGGCTCCAAGAGCGGGAGCACTCGGGGGGCCCGAACGCACATGTCGAGCTCTACGCGCAGCAAGGTCGCATAGAGGCCCCCGAGAAACCCAAGAAACCCCCAAGAGGTCCTCGAAAAGGCCCAAGAGCCCCCAAGATGCCCCCGAAAAGCCGCAAGAGACCCCCACGAGGCCCCCAAAAAAAACCCAAGAGGTGCACTGCCGACGACCACTCGGCCAGTCGACCGCGGTGCGCAACATGGGCCGGCGGAGTGAGCGAGCACAGCTGAAACCAGTCAAAACATGCGAAACGATTCAACAACAAGCACGAACACATTCGAACACATACCACATATCTTGGGGATCGCCGAATCGAGTGGGCAAGATAGTCAAACATATGAGATAAATCATGGAAACCATGGGGAAAATCGTTCGCAACCGTTGGGGAACCAGAAACAGCCAAACGTAGCCGACGACGGCGGAAACGATCGGCCACCGCCTCGCCGGGGCCGTCGTCCGCCACGGGCCGCCAGTACTCCCCGCCGCGGCCTCGCGGGGCGCGCGCGCGGGCCGCCGCGCGGCCGCCGGGCTTCGTCGGTGTCGTCGCTGTCGGCGCCGTCGCCGTCGCTGTCGTCGTCGCCGTCGGGACGGGGGAGGCGTGCGAGCGGAAAACCGACTCGGGTGAACCGTCCCGAACACGCCTCACGGCGCACTCACCCACAGCCGAAGCCGAAACCAAAGCTGAAGCGCTGTCGCCGCCGTCGTCGGAACACAGGAAGAAAGAGACAACACCACCACCAGCACAAGGAGACAAACGGGGCCGTCCTGGTGGCGTGGTACACCCTTTCCCCCGCTCTAGATATTTCGAATATCCAGCGCGGGGCGGCATCGTGCACCTCCTCGATGAAGCGGCACCCCTGGTGGGGATGTCGTTTTTCTCCCCTCCGGCGTCGTCGTTGTCTCCGCCCGCTGACATTCAAGAGCCGTGAATAGCTAACGACTGAAGGAGTTCGGCCACTCTCGGAGGCCCTGGAGTCGTCGAGCTGGCCCCCAGGAGTGGGTCCAGGCATCTGGGGGGCCTCGTTGTGAAAACCATAACGAACGACTGGGTCGGTCGTTGATCGTTGTTGTTTTTGTTTTTGTTGTTGTTGTCGTTGTCGTTGCTGTTGTCGATGTTGTCGTCGGCATCCGCGTCGCCGGCGTCCTCGTCAGCGCAGGCTGTCGTCGGCGTCGGCGTCGCCGGCGACCTCGTTGCTGTCGTCGCTGTCGTCGGTCGCCGTCGATCGTCGTCGTTCTCGGGGCTCGTCAGTGCGTCGCGCGCTGACCTCCAGTCAGTTATCCTGCGCCCCCTACATTCAGCCACAAGGGGCAATACAGTCCGGGGCCCAGGGCAGATAATGAACGGCTTTCCAGAGATCGCATCATGATGATGATGATGATGATGATGATGATGATGATGATGATGATGACTATGACGATGATGACACTGGGCGCCTCTAGATCCTCGCTCCGATGGCGCTTCGCGCTCCTCGAGATCTGGCATTTAAAGCTCGCCTACGCTCTGGAGGCCCTCTGCGCTCATCGTCAAGACCCCCCCCTTGCGAACCGCCTCGGACAAATCGCCCGCGCAGGCTCGGCGCCCCCTGGCGCCGCCCTTGCAGGGCGCACCCTTTGCGCGAGCTTGCGCGGCGGCTCGGGCGCGCTCGAAGGTCTCGCGCCTGGGCTCCAGCGCGGTCGGGCCCTTCGGCGGCCGGGCCTTGCCCTTGCTCCTGATCTCGGGCTCGGCCTTGGCAGACTGGTCGTCGCTCGCGCCCTGCAGCGTCTGGGCCCGCTTGTTGCCTCGAGCGCGCGCCTGGTTGACGCCGCTGGGCGTTTGGCGGCCCTCGCCTCGGATCTCGCGCAAGGCGCACTCGACTCACCTCGTCGCCCAGAGCCCGCGGGACCAGTCATCCACTTGGAACGGCTCGTCGCCGCTCGCAGGGCGTTCGTCGCCAGCGCCGATGGCGCCGAGCTCTCGGAGGATACTCGCGGCGGCTTGCTCGGCGTGCTCGGACGGCTGCTGGAAGGCGTTGCAGCACTCGACGGCCATGCCCACCCCCTGCGTGGACACCTCGAGGTAGGTGTAGTGCGTGGGGGCCTCGGAGCGCACCGCGATCAGCAAGTGCTCGATCGACTCTCTCGGCCTGGCGCTTCTGCTCTTGCTGCTGCTGGGCGGTGGGATCGCCTTCGCCGAAAGTGAGACCGCGCCATCGCGTGACTACCATGGGGAGCTGGTAGGAATATCCTGCCCCAGGACAGTCATCGCCCTGACTCACACTCGCACGAATGCCACACGTTTCGAAAGCAAATGTCGCACATTTCGTTGCTGCGATGGGATTCCGGCTCCGCGGAAAAAAAAGGGAGGCGGAGGGAAGGGGGGGAGCAAAGCAGACTCATGCGAACGGCGCAACTCTCCTGCGTGCAATCTCGCGACGGCCTGGCTGAAAAAAAAACTCTAATCTGTACCGGCGGATGTTCGTTCGAATGATCCAGAAAACACATTCGCAGGCGCAGCCGCTTACAATCCACGAGCTGCGCGTGACGCGTGCCAGTGGCCCTGGGGTCGGGGGAGGCGAGAGGAGAGGACAACAAGGAGGGCCAGAGGGGGGAGAACGCCCCTGCCAAGCGCTGAAAATCGTGCCTTGCTCTTCGAACGGCTAGGGAGCAACGGCGCGAGGCCTCCTGACAGGACCGCCGCGTCCAGGGCGTGGTGTGCGCGCCCAACACGCTTCAGCAGTTCTGCAACAGGCCACGGCCTTAGTTGCCTACCCCCGCGGGGGGCCGCAAGCGGGGAAGCATGGGGGCCGCCCCCAGACGACGACGGCGACGAGGACGACAGCGACGAAGCGACCGCGACGACGGAACCGAGGACGCCGGGCGCGACAGAGACGGCGACGACGAGGCGAACCGACGACGACGACGAAGACGACGAGGGACCCGCGACGCCAACGACGGGGAAGGAGAGGAGAGGAAGGGAGGCAGAGGATGGGGAGGGAGGAGGAGGAAGGAAAGGAGCGGCCCCCTGCCCCCGCAAGACGTTCGGCCCCCAGGGGGAGGCGGGTGGCACACGGCGGCCGTCGTTGTCTGACCAGGCGGACGGCCAGCATTCAAGGAGGGGGCGGGGCGGAGAGGGTGGAGGAGGGGGGGAATTGAGATCCACACAAACACCTAAAGCTTAATCTGATCCTCCTCACCGGATGCCGCTATGCAGGTGCTCCGCGCAGAAGCAGTTCAGGATGACCGTCCCCGTTTGGCGGGCGCCCTGCCGCCCGGCACATGTGCCATGCGCAGGGCTCCTCGTAGACGGTTGTCGCCGCGTGCCGCCTCGTACAACATCTGGTTCATGAAACGGTGCTGGTATTCCGCCGACGCGTCGCCCAGCGGGCTCGCGCGCCGCAGATGGCTTCCGCGCACCTCAAACCGCCTCCAATTCGAGGACCCGCAGAACACCGCACAACGCCGCACAACTCCCTTGAACCTTCCAGAACCACTCGAAAATCTCCACCTTCTCAATGCACCTCCCTCCGAGGTGGGGGATGACGAGAATGAGGAGGAGAGGAAGTGTGGAGGAGAGGCCGATGAGATGGAAACAGGTGGAGACGAGAGAGGAGGGGGGAAGAAGAGGAAGAAGAAGAAACAGAGAAATAATAATAAGAAGAAACAGAAGAAGAAGAAGAACCCCCCCTCCCTTCCCTCACCTCAATGCGACCCCGGCTCTCCTTCACGTCATCCGCCTTTTCCTCCTCAGAACGCCCAGATATCCGACGTCGTGATTTTTCACAACGTGGCTCTCCAGAGATCTGGACCATTTCCAGGGGAACCAGCTTGTCAGCCCGGGTCAATTTTGATTCGTGGTCCCGGGGCCCGGTGAGGGCTCCGAGAAGCGAGAAGCCGAGAATGCCCCAAAGCCTCCAGTCATGCTCTGCACGACGCGAGGAAGTCAGGGTATGGTGAAACCTTTCCCGTCTGTGCCGCCCCTACGCGATCACCGTTTTACACATGCCTCTGCTCACGCCCCGACCACACGAGGAGCCAGAGCGGAGGCGTGGACAAAATGCTGGCCCCGAGGGCCACTCGTTCTATAAATGACCCTCCCCACCTGGCGTCCAGAGCGCGGGGCAGCAGCAGGAGTATGGAACGAGCGTCGATCGCCGAGCCCCCCCGCTTCGCGATTGCCTACCAAGTCGTCCCCACCGAAACCGAAGTCGCCGTTGGCCCTGTCAATCTGCGGACCCCTTGAAACATTGAAAAAAACGATGGAATACGCACGACACCCAAGCTCAAAATGTGCGGGGGTCTGGGGAATTCGGGTTGGCGGGGGGTGGCTTGGTAAGTGGTGACTTTGAGTTAAGCAGGGGCCGACCGTCCAGGCATTCCTATAGGTCTACCACGAAATTTTCTTAGAACCCAGAAATCTCGAATAACAATAACACTATTCTAAAAACATAGACCCGACAAGCAAGAAATGTTCTAAGAACATTTCGTGCAAACCACGAGAGGTTCTTAGAACATTCTTTGGTAGGCCTATAGGCGAGCCGAGACGCTTCGCCACTGCTTGAGTGACTTTGAGCCCCACCCCATGGCCTCGCCAACCCCGGCAACTTCGCCACCAACTTCGGCCACCGGCGCATCCGGGAAGGCCTTGCGCCGCACAGGCCGAAGCACTGCTTGGCGACGCGGGCACACGCAGGAAGCGGCGGCTCCGCACGGGTAGACGAGGGCCAGCGACGAAGACGATGACCATCCCCCTCCGCCTCGTCGTCGTCGACGTCGTCGTCGTCTTCCTCCTCCTCCTCCTCCTCCTCCTCCTCCTCCTTGTGTTGCACCTTCGGGGGTCCTCGTCTGTCCCATCAAGCAGCTGTCCGCGTCGAGTCCGCGTCGAATCCATGTCAAGCGCGTGGCATCCGCGTCGAATCCAAGTCAAATCCGCGTCGCATCCATGTCGGACCCTCGTCGAGCCCACTTCGAATACAAACAAACACCGTAATATCCAAGGCAGGCAAGGCCTGCCGAAGATGCAACTCAAATCTCGGTCATGCAGAGACGCACCTGAAGCCGAGACAGACAGCGGGAAACTGTGTAACAACGTGAACGTTCACCAAAGAGAGACAGGGATGGCCAGGAGGAAGAGGAGAAGGAGGAGGAGAATTAGGAGCAGGAGGAGGAAGAGAAGGAGCAGACGCAGGCGGAGCAGAAAGAGGAGAAGGAGAGGAGGAGGAGGAGGAGGAGGAGGAGGAGGAGGCGGAGGAGAAGGAGGAGGAGGAGAAGAAGGAGGAGAAGAAGGGATCCGAAACCCGAGGCACCCTCTGCGCACCCAAAAGAGGGGGGCCCAACATGTCGTCCAGCTGGGAGACGGCTGGGGGGTTTGCCCCTGGATGGGCACCCGCATAGCCAGTCAAGAGGGGAACGATGGCAAATTCGGCATTCACAATGTAAGCAGAGGGATTCCGCCACGTGATGCGAGTCCCCTCCCCGTTCTCCTCCTCCTCCTCCTTCTCTTCCTATTCCTACTCCTACTCCTCCTCAGATTCGCAACACGTGACGGATCCAAGTCGCCGACAACGCATATCTGGAGAAAAGGCGGACCAGAAGGGACAGGGAACGAATTCTGTGCGCAGCGGTGCCTCTCCCCCTTTCTAGCTGCTGGAGCCAGTGATGCTCCTCCTCCTCCTCCTCCTCCTCCTCCTCCTCCTCCTCCTCCATCTCCTCCTCATCCTCCTCCCTCCTCCTCCATTTCCTCCTCCTCCCTCCTCCTCCTCCTCCTCCTCCTCCTCCTCCTGCTCCTGCTCCTGCCCCTGCTCCTGCTCCTCCTCCTCCTCCTGCTCCTGCTCCTGACCCTGGTCCTGGTATTAGTCCTGGTCCTGGTCCTGGTCCTGGTTCCTGGTCCTGGTCCCTCTCCTCCTCCTCCTCCTCCTCCTCCTCCTCCTCCTCCTTCCTCCTCCTCCTCCTCCTCTCCTCCCTACTCCTCCTCTCCTCCTCCTCCTCCTCCTCCTCCTCCTCCTCCTCCTCCTCCTCCTCCTCCTCCTCCTCCTCCTGCTCCTGCTCCTGCTCCTGCTCGTGCTCGTGCTCGTGCTCGTGCTCGTGCTCGTGCTCGTGCTCGTGCTCGTGCTCGTGCTCCTGCTCCTGCTCCTGCTCCTGCTCCTGCTCCTGCTCCTCCTTCTCCTCCTCCTCCTCCTCCACAAATACTCAATATGAATACTTCTCTCCCTCTTCCCCTGACGACGGCCTGGGAGTGTCCGACCCCCCCCCCGCGTACTGTTTTTTACACACAGGTTTCCCCGGAGTTGGGTTTTCGCTTGCATTTTTTCCAAAATGCTGCTCTCGCTGAGGCGCCGGCCTCATTTTCGGGCCCCGCTCGTTCCGAATCGTGCTCCCGCTGCAGCGCTGGCCTCATTTCCGTGCTTCGGCTCGTCCGAATCGTGCTCCCGCTGCAGCGCTGGCCTCATTTCCGCGCTTCCGCTCGATTCGACTCGTGCTCCCGCTGCAGCGCTGGCGTCATTTCCCGTGCCATGCCACGGCATGCAATGCAATGCTAGGTTGATGCTACGCTTTGCGGTGCTCTTCTACGCCATGCCATGCCGTGCTCTACAATGCATCGCGTACCCTTTCGGGATCATTGCCCTGCTCGACATCCGACTGTGCGAGTAGAGAGGGGATCTGCGCCATGGTAAGGGATGGGAGGGAGGGGTAGGATGTCAGATATGACGCGAGCGCACCTAGCTTGTCCTCCTCCTCCTCCTCCTCCTCCTCCTCCTCCTCCTCTTCCTCTTCCTCCTCCTCCTCCTCCTCCTCCTCCTCCTCCTCCGCCAACGCCTCCTCCTCCTCTTCATCCTCCTCCTCTTCATCCTCCTCCTCCTCCTCCTCCTCCTCCCTTCCTGCTCCTCCTCCTCTTGCTCCTCGTCCTGCCCAGCCAGCGGGCTGTAACATCCAGCACCTCCGCGAGCCAGCAGTCCCTGCTCGTGCGGAAGGCAGCGGATTGATCGAGGGGAGCGAAGATCGGCCCTCCTGACATCAGAGCTCCGACGAGGAGCCAACGTGGGCATACACATACACTGTCGGAGGTCCCCGCGGAATTCTTGTTTGGTGGGCGCTGGACTCCGCTCCCCACAAGCACTCCCTGAGCGCGGAGCGCGCCGGGGGCGGCGCCAGAGGCGCAATCAGGGTGGCGGGGAGGGGGTCTGGACACAATCCAAGGAATCCGCGCAGACCCTCTAGCGTTTCTGTTGTTTGTGCCGCCCGTCTTCCCCAATGAAGATCGGTCCTCCTCCTCCTCCTCCTCCTCCTCCTCCTCCTCGCCCAAGAAATCAATAAGTAGCATCCCCCTCCCCCTCCTCCTCTTCCTCTCCCTCCACCCCTCCCCTCCTCGCCCGACCCCGAGGCGCGGACGGACAACGGGGGGCGCCCGGCGCGTGCCCGCGGGGCCCCTCCGCTCCTCCTCCGCCTCTCCTGCTGACCCCCCCCCCTTCCCTCCGCTCCCCCTCTCCGAACCGCTCCTCATCCCACGCCGCTCTTCCTCTTCGTCCTCCTCCCAGCCCCCCCCCCTGCCGCAGGGGCCGGCTCAAGAGGCCAAAACAAACTCAAGCAAAGTGGCACTGCTCAGCGTCGGCTGCTTTCTCTGATTTCTGGGAGATACAGCATCCAAGACACCCACCACGATCGCCCCAAGACGGCCCACGAACCCCCAAGAGGAGCCCAAAAAGACCAACAGGACGGCCCCAAGACGACCTCTCGAGCCCTCCAATCTAAGTCACTCCCAGAACCCTCCAGAGGCCCCCAATGATGGGAAGAGGGGATTAGATTGGCACAGGATGCGCCGATGCGCCCCCCCTCGCTTTTCGGGCCCGCGCCTCTGAAACGAGAACCCGAGTGCGCACGAGAGGCGGCGGCGTCGTCGCCCGCGTCCTCGTCCTCGTCCTCGGAGTCGTCCTCATCCTCGACTGGCTCTGGGCGCGGCTCTTCTGCGTCGGCGCCGTCGGCGCCGCCGTCCTCGTCGTCCCCGACCTCGCTCGGTCCGGGGCGCCCTCTCGGAGGACCATAAAACATGTGACAACGGCGGCCCTCCCGCCCAGCCCACATCCGCTCAACACAGGACTCCAGAGCCCTCCCAGGGTCTACTCTGACCCTCCTCCTCCTCTCCTCCTCCTCCTCCTCCTCCTCCTCCTCCTCCGCCTCCGCCCCCGCCTCCTCTTCCTCCTCCGACGCACCAACTCGGGGCTCTTCTGACCCAAGTCAGTCCAGACCCGGGTCAGTCAGGCCTTGCAGAATCCCGCAAGGCCCTGCAAGATCCTGCACGCAAGCCCGAGCCAGCGCGAAGGTTCCTGCAGGCTCCTGCGCCCAGACCCCGGGGCAGTGCGCCCCTGGTCCTGCAGGATCCTGCAAGATCCAGCACCCGCGGACCCCCGTCTGCATTGACCCCCGTCCCTTGAGCCCCGACCAACCTGAAGGGGCCCAGGGACACAAATAAATACACACAAATTCAAGGTTTTCCAATATTTGTCAATACTTTCCGGGTTTTCGTCTTCCCCAACACTTCCCATATGGAGTCGACGATTAATTGTGTCTGTGTGTTTTTTATTCCCTCCTGACAACCTGGGTCAGCGCGAGCCCGGGCGAGCCAGGGCCACGTCACGAACCCAGGCAGGCCGCGAATCAGCTCCCCAACCCGGGCCAACGGGGGAACGGGGTCGGCTCCCGGTGAATCCCGGGCCCTGCGCGCCTGGCTGCTGCTGCCCCCCAGGCTGCTCATCGCCGAACTCTTCGACGTCTGAGCGTCCCGTCTTCCTCTCGGCCGTTCCCCCCCCCCTTTGTGCTCGCCGGCCAATTCGCCAAGCAATGCCCCTACCTGGCTTCTCGCTGGAGCGGAGTTCGCCGCCTCGCCGCTGACGGAAAACAAAGCAGCTCCAGGCGGCTGCCAAGTCCGGGTCAGCCAAGTTCTTCTCCAAGAGGACCAGCTGACCACGTCAGCGCCGACACCCGCCACGTGAGCCCGAGGCCCACCCTCTCGAGGCGGACCCGGCCGTGGCGACGCGAAGCCTCCACGAGGCCCGGCAAGGACGAGCAACGCCAGGGAGGGCCGGCGCTGTCTCGGCTGGGCCTCCTCCGATCCTCGTCCTCGGAGCCCTCGCGACGAGGGTCAGGGGAGGTCAGTTGGTCGTCGTCGATCGTCGTCGACTGTGGTCTCCGATCCGACGTTGCGAGTAAATTGCAAGGTCGCGAAGGAACACGAGCGGGACCCTAGAACCCAAGCTTCTGTAGCATTATTCGAACCGGATCGAGCTGTGATGGTCCAGGCCAGAGACTGAAACTGGGCAAAAACGCCCGGATCTCTGGGTCGTCGGATGATCAGACGAGGCCAGCTGAGGAGGACGCTGATCAGAAAATCGTCCATCGTCGGCCGCCGCCAACCGGGCAGAGGTCTCGACCCACTCCCTGGGACCGGGATTTCATCTTGAGTCGTGTTTCTGCGGTCCGGGGGACCAGCGAGGCCCCCCAGAGCTCGAGAGCAGCAACAAAACACCCGTCTCTTTTTTTGTTTTACACCGCGAGGGAATATGGTGGGAACCGTGCGTATATCCTTGTCCCATGGGCCACAGGACAACGTAAAGTGCATACCTTGTCTGGCTGGTTCCCCATGCGACAGGTGTTAAGATACAGAGATCTATATACACATGAACTTGGTTTGGGCCCCCTTCTGCCACTGCGTGGTGGATACACATGACATTCTGCTCCAAATCCCTTGCTAGTCGTCCCCCGGGTCCGTTAATTTAGGCGCCTTGTTTGTAACTGGGGGGGTCCGGTTTATTAGGGCGCTTTCTTTGGATTGGAGCTCAGGGGGTCTGGTTTATCAAGGCGCCCCGTCGAAGAAGGGGGTCCGGAATATCAGGTCGCATTTGGAGGGGGCACGGTTTTTTAAGGGGAAATCGACTAGCATAACGGATTCGGAGTAAGGGGGGACACCTTCCCGGCCACGACCCGGGTCCACAGGACGAAGCTCCCAGGATCGTCGACCGCCGCAGGGCGGCCAACGCCTGGCGGATCGCACAGCGAGGGCCCGCGCCTGCTCCAGCAACTCCGCGGCCGCCTGCATCTCTCGCAGCTCGCCGGCCGCCGCCTCGGGCGTTTTCGGCGGCCCCGCCGAAGACGGCGCCGGCCGACGATGCTGCGACAGCGGGTGCGAAATCCCAACTGGGGGGCAGGGAACGGAAGAGGACAAGGAGGAAAGAGGAGGAGGAGGAGGAGGAGGAGCAGAAAGAGCAGGATCGGCCCAGCGAGGTGGCGCGGCTGTGGCTCTGGACACGCCGCGGTCCTTGTAGCCGAACCTTCACAAGGAAACGCAAGAGGAGGAGGAGGAGGAGGAGGAGGAGGAGGAGGAGGAGGAGGAGGAGGAGGAGGAGGAGGAGAGGAGAAGAACAACGACGACGACCAGAAGGCGGCATACTTTTGGTACCGCATCGGTTAGCTGCGCCCCGCTCGGGCGTCGTGAGCCGCCGCGGCTTGGGATCGCTGTGGAGCGCGGCGGAGGAGGAGGAGGAGGAGGAGGAGGAGGAGGAGGAGGAGGAGGAGCTGGAGCTCCAGGGCGACGTCCCGGGAGGAGAAAGGGGGGGAGAAACAACAAAAAAAAGAGACGCGGGGGACGTGGGGGGCAAGGGGGAGGATGACGCCTTCGGGGACTCCCGAAGCCTTCTAAGTCCCGAAGAGTGTAGCAGCAAAATCAGCAGCACTGTATCATCGAACTGTTTGGGGGAAGGTGGCGCGGCCGCCAGAGCGCCCCTGCGGCGCTAGAGAGCGGTGCGGGGAGGAGGATAGGGAAGGCGGATGGGGAAGCTCAGGAAGAACGAGGAGAAGACATCTTGTGGGAGGAGTAGGTCGGCATTCGGAGAAAGAGGAGGACGCAATGAGGATGACAGGATGGGCGCGAATAAGATAATCGCCAGGTAGAGGAACCCTCCCCGAAACCACTCCACCGCTAAACCACGGCCTTGAAGAGGTCCAGGCGGCACACTAACGTTTCTAATGTTGCGTTGGGTCCATAGCATAGGCAGCAGCAGAGAGCACCCCGCGGATCGAGTCACAAACCCTCCTGACATTCAGCCAACATGAACTGCGAGCCGCTCCCCAAGTCGCTGCACCCGATACCCTTCACGATCGTGCTCTCGGAGCTGTGTGCCTGGGAGGCCCACCAGATCGAAAGCACCCAACTCTGAGAGAAGACCACGTAACCAGTCACCACAAGCATGGAAAGGGGATTACACCATGGGCGAGAGAATCCGAGATCCTATGGCGCTGGCCGAGGACCCCTGATGGGAAAACAATTGCAAGCCATAAGATGTGGCTGCGCGGTCTAGTGTGCTGCACTACCCGGCAAGCCGAGGCGGCAACTAAGGGGGCAGGACAAGACTGCGGACGGTCATGCATATGAGTTTGCCCGCCGCTGGACCCCATCAGGAGCCCTTCCTTGGCGTAGGCCGAACGTGGGTTTAACCCTAGGCTCGGCCCACGCCGACCCTAGCCCATCAAGTCCGCCTCCAGGTCGAAGGCCAAGTCCACGCGGAATTCAGCCGCCCCGCGCCTCCGCGGCCTCCGCTTGGAAGGCGGCGCGGGCGTCGGCGAACTCGACAATGAGGCGCTCCGTCACTCAGGTGGAACCCGTGCCCTCCTGCTCGTCCAAATCGCGGCGTCTTCCCGCGTTGCCACCTCTCGGAATCGGCGTCACCCCAACATACTTACACTATATGTGCGTCGCCCCCCCAGGGGCGACGCGCCACCGAGAAATCTTGTAATATATGCGCCGTGGCGGGCGCTTTATGGCTAACCCGCTCGGGAAACGATATGCTACAAGATTGCCATACTATATGTTCGGGTCGGACGCGCGCCTCCAAGGAGGACATGTGGTATTGGTACTTATGTCCCTGTGCGTCCCACGGAATGCTGCGGCGTGACTCAGCACGTCGCGCATCAGAGGCCCGAGGAGCAGCCGCCGGGCCCCACTCAACTCCGCACCGCTGGGAGCACTCCACGGAGATGCGCACCCGCGTGCCCCAGCTCGCCCGCGAGCCGCTCTCGCGCAGGCCGCCGTCGGGGAGCAGCTCGTCGCCGTCGCACCTCAGCGGGGCCGCCTTCTCGCGGCCATACGACGAGGCTGGCCCCCTTCACTGCCGTTTGGTTCTCGTGGAGCTTCGGCGCCGCTGGCTGGCTGCGGTCGTCGACCAGGCCCTCCTCCTCGAAGGGCTTCCTGCCCTCGTGCTCGGTGGTCTCCTCGCCGAGGCCGTCCATGACGGCCGGCACCTTCGACTCGGTGAGGCCCTGTTCCGTGAGGCCCTCGTCGAACTTCGCGGGCTCGCCGACCTGCGCCGCCTCGTCGGCACCCAGGGGCGTCTTGTCACACACATGCTATCGCGCAACACCTGCTCGCCCTTCTCCGCGAAGGCATCGCGTCGTTGCCGATGCCGGCCACCTCGACGATGGCGTTGCACACTGGGTCAGGACCAGCAGCCAGGGCCCCCAGCAACACGTCGGCCTGCTGCGGGCCCTCTGTCACCCGCTCAGGCTGCTGCTGGGTCTCGCAACTCGCGGCAGGCACGAAGATCGCCGCGTTGGAATGCAGCAGCGTGCTCCTGCTCTCGTGGATGCAGTCCAGCACCGCGCGGGGATGCCCCTGCGTTAGCGCGAGCGGCCGCCCGCCCCCCCCCAGTTCGAGGGGCATGCCGGGCCATGTTTTCGCCCTTGAGGTCGCACTCCGCCGCGGCCAGGGCCTCGCTGGCCACTCCGACCAGCTTCGCCGCCATCATCTCCTCGCCGAAGGTGGGGAAGAACACGCCCAAAGTGTCGGCGAGTTCCCAATGCGCCGCGATGGACCCCGGCCCCCGCGCGCGGTGGCCGCCCGGCCTCGCGAGAAACCCAACTCGGGCCTCGTGCCGCCGCTGCCTCCAGAGCCGCCGCGCCAGCGCGCGCGCGCCGGCGGCAGCCCCGGTTCTGCCAGACATCGGGTCCCTTGCGCGCTCCCGACGCGCAGCGGCAGGAGCGCAGCGCGAGGGCCTCCCGCAGCGCATCTCACTTGAGTCGCAATGGCTACGGACACAGCTACGAGGAGGAGGAGGAGGAGGAGGAGGAGGAGGAGGAGGAGGAGGAGGAGGAGGAGGAGGAGGAGGAGGAGGAGGAGGATTTTTTTTTTAAAAACATCAACAACTGCCAAGCCGTACTCTCTGGGGGGACGGCGCCTCCCCCCAGAGGAGGGGCAGGGCTGGGTGGCGCCACATGCCGCTTACGCCACCAGCCCTGCCCCGCCGCTGACGTCACGGCAACTGCGGGGGGACTCACGCCGAAATGGCTGCCAGTCCCGCAGTGCCGTGGAAACAGCGGCGTCCCCTCGCCCCGCCCGCGTTGGGGGGAGCAGAGGGAAAAACATCTCAGCCTGCTGCGTACGCTCCACGCTGATGGCAGAGCGAGGCAACCTTGTTGGGCCGAAACACGACGCCAAAAGGAGGCTGGACGCTCCTCGACCCCCGCGGAGGGGACGAGACAAAACTAAAACACAACCCTTAAAGGGAAGGCGCTCTGAGACCAATGATTTCGAACAATCCGAATCAAAAGTTGGGGACGGGCAAAGAGGACGAGGGCGCAAGGGCGGAAATCGCCCCTGCTGGCAACTCTTCTGGTCGGCCTACACCCAAGTTCTTCCTTGGGTGGCGGCCTTGGGGAGGAGGAGGAGGAGGAGGAGGAGGAGGAGGAGGAGGAGGAGGAGGAGGACGAGGAAAAGGCGGACGGGGGTCGCAGGCAGCGAAGGCGTCGCTCGGGCGGCGGGCGCGCGTCGCGCGCAGCCCGCGGCCCCGCTCGGCCCTCGAAGACCCAGTCCTGGGCGAAGTCGCACACGGCGGAGTGCATGGCAGGGCGAAGGCACCCGCGGCGATGCCACTAATGACCCAACAGCAGGTCGTTGGACTCGTCACGGCCGCACATGTCCACCCAGGCCAATCAACCAAGCAAATGGTGGCAACCGAACCAGAACGCATGCCCCGAAACGGGGGTGCGCCTGGATTTGCGTTTTCAAGCAACGGCAACAAACTCCCAATGCAGTCGAAGAGCATAAGGGGGCCTTGGGGCGGGGCCTCCAGGCTCGAGGTTGAATGGGCCTTATTCGCCCTGGCAGGCCCTGGACGGGGGATGGCAGGTGGCCCCGCCCAATCCCCCCCGCCCTCACACCAGGGCGAAAACGCGGATCCCCCGCCGCCCCCCAGGCCCTGCGCAGACCAACAACCTGAGCGGGGGCTGGCCGCGCGCCGAGGCTCGCGGCCAGCACCCCTGAATCGAAATCGAAGAGCAACGCCCATGATAAACTGCGAGGTGCCGCTCACGGTGCTCGTCTTCAGCACGCTGGCAAGGTAGTGGGTCGCAGCGGGTATGCGGGTGAGCCCGCGCGCGCGTCGATGAGACGCGTCCAAGTCTGAATCTGACCGCGCACCGGACGCAGTGCCATTTGATGCCGTTGACGTTGTGGCGCATCGGGTGGGATTGGTCAGTGGCGTGAGTCCTGTCCTCCGATCAAGACGCCGCGCATTGGCTTGCTTGATAGTGCCGTCGATGCGCAACAGGAGCCCAGCCAGCTTCGGATGATATGTTGCGCACTAGTTTTAACAATCGACTGCGTACAACCCTGTCGCTCTCACCGAGCCAGCTCAGCGTCTTTGACCATGTCACCATTACCCTCTATGGCCAGGTCGGAGATGGCGCGGCGCAGATGCCACCGCCTCTGCTTCCTCATCCGCACGTTGCTGTCGACGGTCGGCACGATCTGGGGCTCACGTGTCGAGCGCGTCTCTCGTGGCCTGGCACATCCAATCGCGGCAGAGTTACGTTGCCGCCCGAATCCAGTCGCAGCAGCCAAACTGCAGCTAAGGTCTGCCACGGTCCTCTGCCGCCTGGCACGCGCAGCCGTCTGCAATATCGGCCCCTGCCCAGGCATGCTTGGGGGCTCCTCGTCGAAGCGCCTCCTCGCATGAAAAAAAAAGGCCCCTTGGTCTGAAAATTGTCCACCGCGTCCGATCTGCTGTTCAGTTTAATACTGATCAACTCCCGCAAGTCCGAGTCCGCGCCCGCGTTGGCGGCCCAGGTGCGACGTTCCCCCCCCCCCGGCCTGCTGGCAATGTGTCCGAACCTGTCCAGAATGTCCTCGGGCCCGACGCACCTTTCAAGCTGTTGTATAAGGCCCACATATCCGCGCGATTGTTGCTCTGTCGGCGTCCAGGGAGTGGCCCGCGTTTGCAATCATATTGCCCGCGCCAGGTCGATCAAATTCCAGCCTGGCCCCGGACCAACCACGCCTTGTATATCTCATTTCCCCCGAGCGTTTTCCTCCACGGCCGTCGCCGTAGATAACTAACGAGCGGGCCCTAGTTCGGTGAGCGTGCGCCGCGCGCGCCGGCGCACTCGCGCACGTCGGTCTCGCAACAGGCTGCGTCGCACGCGGGCGTCGAGGCGCGTCCGACTTCTCGGCGCGATGCCCCTGAGCAAGGGGCAAGGCGCCAATTCCCCCCGATCGTCGGCGCGTCGGATTTCGGCCCCCAAACTGGGCACTGGCCCAATGCCCGATGATAATCGGCCTCTTCGCGCCCACGGGTGCAGACTTCTCCGCGTCCGCCGATATCGTTCGCGCGCTGCCCTGCCCAAGTGCCCGCGCAAGCAGCAACGACTACTGCCCGGCACTCGGCATGGTGACGTCGGCGGCGTCGCAAGCCGGCGTTGCCCACTCCGTGCTCGCAGCCCGCCCCGTCGCGGTGCTTCGCCGCCCTTCGCCGCTGGGCAGGCTTTCTGCGCGCGGCGGTGTCGGCGGCTTGCTCGGGGTCTTCGAACTTCCGCGCGCTGCCTTTCCGAGCCTGCCCATGCGCCTGCTGCCGGGCAATCCCAGCCGCGCTCCGACGGGATGCGAATCATGCTGCCGATCGCCACGAGTTTCTGCTGCCAACGACATCGAGGGGGCGTTTCAAGAAGTCGCTATCTCATCGCGGGCCGCGCCTTGCACGGCCCGCATCAAAGGCCAGGTCGTTCGGCCCGAGCGCCGAGCCAAGGTTGTGCCTGCAGCCCAGGGATGGTGAGAGTCCTGAGCCGTCGCCTTCGACGTCGAGTAGCGTAGTCGAGCATCTCCCTGGTCGAGGTCTTCCGAGTGCCCTCGCGCACTGCGGCCTGGTCTTCAGGGTCTTGGACGAAGAGGCACAATGGGCGCCGTGATTGCAAATGGTCGAGGCGACGGGCCCCCGGCTGTCGCGGCGGTAGTAGCAGATGCCCAGCCTGGCTCTACTAGCTGAGGAAGCGTAGATGTATGGCACTGGCTTCGTGCTGCGACGCACGCCCCACCAGGCGCGTCTTTCGCCCGAAGCAGGCCTTGAACCCAAATCCAGTCAACTGGCGCCCCTTTGCTGCGATCTGGCCCCTGCGAAGATGGGTCTCCTGGAACATCTGGCCACGGTGCTTGTCAGGTATACTTGAATTCTCAATCCTCTGCTCGGAAGTGGGGCACCGCTAAGTCATGCTGCCGCAGAAGATTAAAGTTGTGGCAGCCGCGGTCCTGCGGTTGTCCGGGCTGGGTTGTCACGAGCTGCCGCCCTCGGAAGCAGCCTTGGCAACGCGCTCCTTGGCCTGATCCGCAAACTTCATATCCAATATCTGTTGCGTCTCGTGCTCGATCCCCTCCGGGCCTGGGCCTTTCGTAGACCCTATGGGTGCCGTCGCTGAACCCGTCGAGGGAGCAACCGTCAGTGGGGTCGAATCTGATGCTTGTGTAGCAGCGTCAGCTCATGTACGCTTCGTTGCCATTATTGAATCAACTTTCTTTTTCAGCTCGGTCACCTGTACCTTCCGGCGATCGACTTTGTCTCCCTCTGAGGAGGTCGCACCGCGTGCGCTCTTTAGCTCCGCCTCGTGCTGAAGGTCCTGGTTTTCTTCCGTCCCCTCACAATCATACTCACCTGAATGTGCGACAAACTCTTCATAGAGGACTTCCCAGGGTCTCGGGCTCCAGAAGTCGCCGTAGGTCCATCCTCGTTGACAACAACTTCTCGCACCAGCCGCCCAGCGGCCTCCTTCCTTTGAAACTCAACAGAAACACCATCCCCAACCGATCGACGCCGTTTTCACAGCATCCTATGCCGGGATATCAGAAGCCGAAGCCAGCTTGGAAAGACTATACAAAGCCTGGCACGGAATCATACAACAAACCCGTTTGGCTCCCATGTCCTCCGTGTTGGAGATCAGACAACACCACATGCATCTTCACGATGCCTGGCTGCTGCTCCTGGGTCTCTCCGTTTTTTTGCCGTTGTCTCACTTTCTCGTTCGCCAAAGCTGGCATCGCCGTCTCTCGGTCGCACGTAGCTTCACGACCCTGCCGCAACCGCAATGGCAGTGGTAGGCCACCAAGATGCTTCTGTATTCGGAGCGACCGTACTTCGAGCACTTTGTCCACGGCACGGGGCCCTGGCTGTCGTTGCTGGACTTGCCGTAGCCCATGATCAACTTCATCGACACCACCTCACACTTTGCCAGCGTGAGCGTCCACTGCACGGCCCGTGAAGGGAGATGAGGATGGGGAGGAGAAGGATGAGAAGCTATGTGCAGTCCATCGATGAACGGGAGGAGGAGGAGGAAGATGGGCGGAGGGAGGGAAGATAATGAGGATCCAGAGGGAGACCACACTCCCCTGCTCTTACTCCTCCTCCTCCTCCTCCCCCTCCTTCTCCTGATCATCCTCATCACCACCATCATCATCACCATCATCATCATCACCATTGCCATCAGCATCAACATCAGCAACATGATTGTCACTACAACCATCATCGTCATCGCCATCATCATCACCACCATCATCACCACCACCATCATTATTACCATCACCATCACCATCATGTTTACCATGATGCCCACCATCATCATCATCAACAGCACCCTCCTCCTCCTCCTCCTCCTCCTCCTCCTCCTCCTCCTCCTCCTCCTCCACATCATCGTCATCATCATCCCGCTCCTCCTCCTCCTCCTCCTCCTCATCCTCCTCCTCCTCATCCTCCTCCTCATCATCATCTTCCTCCTCCTCTTCCTCCTCCTCTTCCTCCTCCTCTTGCTCCTCCTCCTCCTCCATCTCCTCTTCCCTGGCTCCCTCCCTCCCTCCCCTCCCTTCCGCCCACCCTTTCTCCCTGCCTCCTCCCTTCCTCCCACCCTTCGCTTCCGCCCACCCCTCCTCTTTCTCCTGGTGTTCCTCGTTCTCCTCCCTCTTCCCTTCTCCCTTCCCCGAACTCCCTCGTCCTCCCGCCGTGTCCTCGTCGTCCTCCTCGCCCTCCCCCCTCTCCCTTCCCCCTCCGCCCCCACGCACTCGCAAGGGCGGCACCTCGGGATCCGCCGCGGCCGCGCCGCTGGGCAGCTGGGCGGCACCGCGGGCACCGGCGGGCTCCGCGGACCCGCGGCGGGGCGCCGGCCTCTAGAACGCGGACCGCGGGGCGCCTCGGTCCTCGGTCCTCGGCCCCTGGCTCCTCTCCCCTCTCCTGTCTCCTCCCTCCCTCCCCCTCCTCCTCCTCCTCCTCCTCCTCCTCCTTCTTCCCCTCTTCTTTCTCTCCCCTCGTCCTCCTCCTCCTCCTCCTCCTTCTTCCCCTCTTCTTTCTCTCCCCTCGTCCTCCTCCTCCGCCCTCCCTCATTGCTCCTCGTTCACTCCCTCCCTCCTCCGCTCTCTTCTCTCGCTCCTCCTACTCCTCCTCCTCCTCCTCCGCCTCAGCGCCAGAACTTTGGGTGCCAGCGCCAGGGTGCCCGCCGCCCCCCACCCCCGTGCTCCTGGGCGCTCCAAGGACGTTCTGTGGCGATTCTGGGGCCCCCTGGGGGGCCTCTGAAGGCTCAGGGAAACTTTGGCGCGATCGATTGAAGTTTGAAGTGTCCCAGCGGCCAACGCTTGCAATGGGAGGCGGCGGCAGAACGGCAAGGAGGCCGAGCGCACCGCGCGCCGCCCGGTGCGGAACGTTCTGAGGGCGTTCTGGAACAGTCTGGCACGGCTTCTCCTAGTCCTGGCCCCGCCCGACCACATGCCCTGAGAGGGAGTCCCCTCGAGAAGGGGTGCGTGCCCCAGGGTTGCTGTGGTTTGTCTGTCGCAGACATCGGTGGAGCGTCTCGAACGTCCCATCCCCTGCTTAGCCGTTACCGTCGCAATCGTCGTTCTCGTTTCCGTTCTCGTCGTCCTCCTTGCCGTGGTCGCGTATGGACTAAAACTTGTCGGCCGTCGGGGACGCCTGCCCCAGGGTGCCAATCAAGCTTGCACCCCCACGTACCTCCGTAGGGACACAAACTGTCCAGCGGCCCAAGGGCAGGCGCCGCCGATGGCGGATCAGATGCTGTTATACCATTGTTCGCCCGTTGACACTCTTTCTTGTGCCTCAGAGTCTTGCTCATCGATCGTCTTCGCCATCGCCGCGACGACGTCGTCGACCGTCGCCAACCTCACCGCGAAGACCGAGTCGAGAACGACGACGACGTCGATGACGCCGACGACGGAGAAGACGTTGAAGACGACGAGAACGACGACGGCGATCGTCGTCGACGACGTCGATCGTCGCCGTCCTCGCCGCGCGGGTGCCGTCCGACTAGCCACCGCTGGGGTGACTCGCGTTCCTCACAGCCCCCGGGGGACCTCATCGCGTCGGCGACCTCTTTCAGGAGGGGTGCCGAGTCCGATGGGTCTTGCAATAAGTCGGGCGTGTCCCTCTAACGGGGAGTATCCAAAAATAGTCCACGAGTAATATGGGGACGATATTTTGCGTATGTGTTCATGATTTTGGTGTATGTTGAGCATATTTTAAAATTTTCGTCCAAGTTCCGCCTCTAGGGGAGCATGCCCGACCTAAGTCTTGCAAGGTGGGGGCAAGGACCAAAAATCTGGCCCCAAAGGTCCCGACCCCTTTTCCGGGTTGGCGGCGAGCCCAGGGGAGGGAGAAGTGAGAGGGGGCTGGCCTTCTCCGAAGGCGGCTGGGCTTCACAAAGCCCCCGCGCCGTTTGAGAAATCTTGCAAGCCTTCTCCGAAGACGCAGACACCTTCCAAGATGGCGCGAAGGCTTCTGAGAACCCTCGCCGCCTCCTAAGAAAACCCGTCCCCTTTCATGTCCCCCCCAAAGTTCGCCGTCGACATAATCCGCCGACCCCGCTTGCCGGGCATGAACAAGCTTTTGAGACGTTGGCTGTCCCCCTCCCCCTTTCCCCCATCCGGTTATCGGGGACTCACTAACCTAGGTCAATCTAGACCCAGGTCAGTCAGGCCATGCAGAATCCTGCAAGATCCTGCCCACATGCTTGGGTCAATGCGAAGGATCCTGCAGGATCCTGCACCCAAAACCTGGGTCAATGCGGCCCTGGCCCTGCAGGATCCTGCAAGATCGGGCGCTCTGGCTGACCCCCGTTTGCATTGACCCCCGTCTCAAGGCTCCCGAATAATCCGCCGACCCTCGCTTGCCGAGTGTGAAAAGGCTTTTGAGACATTGGCTGTCCCCCTCCCCTTTTCCCCTATCCGATTATAAGGGGGCGGGGTCTCCGGGCTCCTCAACGCCCAACTGGGGTCACCAGAGCCGCCAGGGAGCCCCCAGGCAGCCCAGGAGGGTACACGCAGAGCGCCGAGACAGCCCAAGAGAGCGTCGAGACGGCCCAGGGTAGCCCCACGACGGTTCTCCCTTTCCGATTTAGCAAAGTCCAAGGCGGGCAATGAGGCCCCCAAGAGAGCCCCACGACGGCTCAAGATGGCCCGAAGACGGCCCCAGGGGCCCCCAAAAGGCACAAGAGAGGAGAGGCCATCTGAGGCCGCAAGAGGGGCCAAAGAGGGCGAATACGAATTGAGAATTCAAGCCTTTCCCAGCAAGGTGACCCCAAGCCCCCTAGAGGCCCCCGAGGCGCCCCCAAGAGGCCTCCAAGAAGCCCCCACGAGGCCCCCAAGAGGTCCCCGAGAAGCTCCAAAAAGCCTCCCAGGTGCCGCAATGAGCCCTCAAAGATGCCTGAGAAGCATACCAAGAGCCCCTCATATGCGTCCACGCGCCCCTTGACCCACTTCATTCCTTCCACGAACGCTGCAAACTCCCACTGCACCTCCACACTCTGTGGACACCCCCCCAGTGGCAGTCACGAGACCTCGACAACGCCCAGAAGCGGTTCGCAGAACGCCTTTCGATTGCCTCACACAGCCTTCCTTGAGCCCCCATAGGCATAGACGCGGAGACCACCTACCCACATTTGCAAGGGTACGACGGCGCGCGACATGCTCGGCCTCATCCTGCCCCATTGGTGTCTACTCTCCCGGCGCCCCGAATCCTGTTCGAGAAGCGGGCGACGAATTCGGCATCATGCCCTCCAGCCCAACAGAACCTTCCGACATAGACCGCCCAGATCCGAAGGCCCCAAGAGAACCGAGATACGACACGACGTGCTCAGGCCCCCAAGGATCCGAATGACTTCCGCGACCGTGCATTACACTATGTCTTTTCCAGGGGTCGGAGGAATGACGTAGGCCACTTGCTTTAAACGAATTTCAAAGCCAACGAATACTGGGTGCTCGAATGCTGACTCTTTCGGAAACGGGCAGAAGCCCGACCACTAGACAGAACGAGCCGACGGGGGAAACGAAGTGGAAGACGTTCGATAATGCCGCCTTTCCAAAAGCAGAAACGAACGTCCAGTACAAAAACAATTCGGTGTAAAGCATAACCATTTTGGAAAACATGTGTTAGTTAAGTCCCCTAGGCAGACGAGCGGCCTGAGCACCACACGGATCGGGCAGACCTGGGAAGTGCATTATGGAAATTGACGGCGGAGGCGCCTTTCCAGCCAAACAAACATGCCCACGAGAGTGACGAGGCGCTGCGAACGAGGCCGTTTGGGAAAACACATTCAATAAAAGGGCGACGCCATTCGAGACACAGACGGGCATGCGGAGCACTACACGGGGCGAGCCGACCAGGGAAGTGCATTTGAGGCGCCTTTCCAAACAAACAAAAATGCTCATGACAACGACGGCGCGCTGTGAGCAGAAGCCGTTTGTGCAAAACTGCGAGAGTGACGCCCTTCCAGACACAAGCGAACATCCTGAACACCATACGGGGCGAACCGACCTAGGATACGCATTTTGAAACTTGGCGGTGATGGCGCCTTCCCAAGCAAACGCAACCACCGAGGACGACGATAACTCTCACTGGACGGAAGCCGTCTTTGAAAATTGGCGGATGTGGCGCGCTGCTGAACAATGACGGGAAGCCTGAACACAAGACGGGTTGAGCCCACCTGGAAACAATTCCGTGAAACAACAAATCCAACCAGTATATATTTCCACGGGGAAGCAAATCTGGAGGAGGCCCAGCCCGACCCCCCCCCCGCAGCCCGCAATGGCGACGGTCTCGAAGTTCGAAGCCCCCAGCGACGGCGAGGTCTCATCTGATATGAAGACGTCGCTCAAATTAACCTCCCAGCAGCCCTCGAATTTGGGAACATATTCGCAGCTCGCAGCCACCCAGCGTCGTGGAGGTCCCATCTGATCGGAATCAAACAGCGCTCAGCTGGACCCCCCAGCAGCCCTCGAAAGTGGCGAGAGTCACAGATCCCCAGCGACGGCGAGGTCTCATCTGATCTATCCAAGACGTCACCCCGCTGAAAACCACGGCAGCCCTCGAAAGTGGCGCGAGTTTCACGGTTCGCAGCCCCCAGCGACGGCGAGGTCTCATCTGATCTGAGCAAGACGTCGCTCCGCTGAACCCCCCAGCAGCCCTCGAAATTGGGGACAGGTTCGCAGCCCACAGCCCCCAACGACGGCGTGGTCTCATCTGATCTATCCAAGACGTCACTCCGCTGAAAGCCCCGGCCTCGAAAATGGCGCGAGTTTCACAGTTCGCAGCCCCCAGCGACGGCGAGGTCTCATCTGATCTGAAAAAGACGTCGCTCCGCTAAACCCCTCAGCAGCCCTCGAAATTTGGGACAGGTTCGCAGCCCACAGCCCCCAACGACGGCGTGGTCTCATCTGATCTATCCAAGACGTCACTCCGCTGAAAACCCCGGCAGCCCTCGAAAGTGGCGCGAGTTTCGCAGTTCACAGCCCCCAGCGACGGCAAGCTCTCATCTGATCTGAATAAGACGTCACGCCGCTGCACACCTCAGCAGACCTCGAATTTAGGGACTGGTTCGCAGCTCGCAGCCATCAGCGGCGGCGTGGTCTCATCTGATCTATTCAAGACGTCACCCCGCTGCAACCCCAGCAGCCCTCGAAAGTGGTGAGTGTTTCGCAGTTGGCAGCCCCCAGGCTTCACAGTTCTCCCAGCGACGGCGATGTCTCATCTGATCTAACACTCCACTGGACCACCCAGCAGCCCTCGGAAGTGGCGACAGTTATGCAGTTCGCAGCCCCCCAGCGTCGTTGAGTTTCGCAGTTCGCAGCCCCCCAGCGTTGTCGAGGTCCCATCTGATCGGAATGACGTCGCTCAGCTGAACCCCCCAGCAGCCCTCGAAAATGACGAGAGTTTCGCAGTTCGCAGCCCCCAGTGACGGCGAGGTCTCATCTGATCTGCTCCGCTGGTCCCCCCAGCAGCCCTCGAAATTGGGGACAGGTTCGCAGCCCTCAGCTTCCAGCGACGGCGAGGTCTCATATGATCAAAATAAAACGTCACTCCGCTGGACCCCCGAGCAGCCCTCGAGAGTGGTGACAGTTTCGCAGTTCACAACCCCCCAGCGACGGCAAGGTCTCATCTGATCTGAGAAGGACGTCACTCTGCTGGACCCTTCAGCAACCCTCCAACAAAAAGACAATTCCTCATTTCGCAGCCCCCACCGCGAACCCCAGGCAGGCAGACCGTAGGAGTTAGGCAGGCTGGCAGGCATGCGGGCTGGCAGGTGCGAGCCAGGTGAGAGGCAGGAGAGAAGAAAGGAAGAGAGAAGACTGGAGGCGGGAGGAAAGATTGGACACCGCAATGCTTTTTCAAAACGAGAACCCAACGCAAGGTTCGGAACAAACGGTCTTGCGTGGGAATGCGTGGCGACCTTGCGCTGCGGTTTACGCTGACCTGCGCCGCGGCTTGCGCCGCGGTTTGCGCGGGCCGCCAGCGTGGCACACCGCGTGGAAGAGGCCGCTTATACGCGGAAAGCTTACGCGCGAATGCCGGCATAATTGTTCCCGCTTTTCAGCGCGCCGCTAAGCTGTGGCTGCTCTGGCCGCCGGGGGGCGGCCGCCGCGGCGGCGCGGGCGGCTCGCCTGGGGTGCTCGGGCGGGGCGGCGGCGCCGCCGTCGCGCTGCTGGCGGTACTGCTCCATGTGCCTGCGGGCGGCCGGCCCCGGGAGCGACGGGCGTAATGGGGGAGGGGGAAGGGAGGGAGAGGTGGTTGCGTGATACTCGATCCCTAACCCAGAAACATGACCTGCCCATGTTTGACATCAATTGACAAATCTCTGTCGCTGCATGTCTTGTTTTTAGCTATGAGCCACGTCATGGACACAGGTGGCAATAGCCCTAGCAAATATAGAAGGAGGCCTGTCAAGTCCTCGTCCCACGCCTGGCTGTTCGCCAGAGTGCCAGTGCGGGCCATCGCAGCTCTTATTCTGACCACGTGACGGGCCGACAAAGAGAAGCGAGCCAGGCAAGGGACAGAACGGGCAAGAGAGCAGACGGGGGGGCTGGGAAGGGGTATGCCGCAACTTGACAACACCTTGCCCCGATTTGTGGCCGCCGTGATCGCGGCGGCAACCTCCAATACCAACATGAAAATTTGGTTCGGAGACTGATGTCGCGCAACGAAGAAGGGGGGGAAGGGAAACACGGAGAACAGCCCCCGAACGGAAGTGCCACATTAGACACGGGCGGGACACGAGCCACCATCGCACACCAAACAGCCAGTCAATCCCACCCTACCCCCAACCAAGGAGGCGGCTGGACGGCCACAGGAGGAGGGGGAAGGAGAGAGGGAGGAAGACCCCGACTCGCTAGCGTCGCCACAAAACCAAAACGCTGGATATTTTGACTGATTTTCGGCCTTCGGAGGCCTTCACCGGACCGCGGGACCGTGCAAGAACGACTCAGCATGAGAAGCCAGTCCAGAGGAAGGGGTCCAGACCACTGAGGTCCACATAACCCATTGCCCCTGAGATTTACAGGGTGGGGATAGTAAAGTTCGGAGTCCAGGGAGGACAATACACGTATTCCCAGCAGGTCGCAGCATCAAGGACTCCGAGGAGGATGATGAGGATGCTGATGTTGATGTTGATGCTGATGTTGATGTTAATGGTCATGATGAAGGTTATGATGTTGATGATGATGATGATGATGATGATGATGATGTTGATAATGATTATGATGATGATGAT